GAAAAAGTGCCTGGCCTTGTGATGTGAGCAAAACCAAAGGGCCATGAACTCTCAGTCCTGAATCTTACTGCACTCTCCTGTGCAGCCTTGTTCAACTAACTTACTTTTTCGTGTCAAATTCCCCATCTCGAACACTAGACAAGCATATTTCTTCAGGTGGCTATTGTTAGGACTCATTCGGGTTTCTTCAGCGCTTTAAAATAATATTTACAACATCTACAACATAAATAGAGGTTTTATTAGCATTTTAGAATGATGTCCAAAAATGTTCTATACAGTTCCATTTTATTTTTTAAACTGGCGCTTTTTTTCAGCCAAATGCTTTGAAATTATAGAGACATCGGAACAATAATTTTTACCCTCAACAACCTGTGATGTGTTGTTCTTTAACATAAGATAGAAAAGTCTAAAATGCTAGTTTCCAAATAGAAGTGTAAAAGAACAAACTCAGTGGTGATTTTAGGCCAAAAAAAAGATTTATCAACCTCAGAAATAAAACCAACTTTTGATGACTGCAAAAGGAATTAAAAATCGATGATGAGAATAAAACTGCGGGAAAAAGCAGTATCTATTAGCAGATGTTAGAAGGCTACTAGCCCATTCAGCTTTTCGACACAGTAAGAAATTATTGAAAAGCTAGAAAACCCACAACAAACTCACTTAATTATAGATGATTGAATAAATCAAATTTTTAATCCTCTTATTAAGAAACTACTTTTAATACATTTAATTCCTACAAATGTATTTTAATTTTAAAAACTATTAATTTTTAAATAATTAGAAATAAGCTAAAAATGAAAATTATAAAACACATTAGGAGCCAAATCCTGGTGTGATTAATGAGGTTGTTTCATTAACACCAGAACTTTAGTCTAAATCTATAGCACTCAGTGACTGATAAAGTTATTGCAAAAATATAATTTAGTGTAACAGAGAAATGATCCAATTGAAGAGACTTTCTTCAGTTATTACACATCCGTTGGCAGGATCAAACATATCTTCCAAACTTGCTATTGATTGCAAAGTAACATCAAATGGGATCTGAAAAAACAGGAGGGCGGGGGGGGGAACCCCAAATAAATAACTTTATTAAGCTTATAGGTACCAAAAAGTATCTAAATACAAATCAAATTAAATTAAAGCCAGATTTCTGACCTACAACCAATGAGTAAGTTAGAAATACTCATTGCCTCAATATAAATTTGTGGTTAATGACATCTCTTGCAGGAAACTAGTAAAACAGGATTAAGGGGAAGAAACTTCTGTGAACAATCTTGCTAACAAAGTTTATCTTGATCATCTCTAGGTAAAATGAAGATATCAGACAAGAGCAGCAAGAACGATTAGTAATTTGGAAGGCTTTTCCCAAGATGAGAAGTTGAAAGAATTGAGCTAACTGTAAAAGGTGAAACAGGGGGCAGTGATAAACTGGCTTGTATGTCCATTGGTCATGGAGAACTATTTAGCTGATTTAGACATTAAGAAAAGCTAACTAAAGGAAGAGAAGCTAGGAACAGGCTATCTAGGGAGGTTAATTTTTAATGCAACCATTTTATTTATCAATTTACTTTTAAGATTGGAACTCCCAAATACTATGCTTTATTATCTCCCTCAAGAACATAGTTACTCATTAAATAGCTTTAAAAACAAGCCAGCTGATCAATTTTTATTCTTAAAACATGAACAGTCAAATAATTTTAAACGAATAATTCAATAAAAATGCACTTTTTCCACTTAGAAATATAATTCAGTGCTGAATCAAAAGCACCATAAGACACGTGAACAGAAAAAAGATAATCAAAGAAGAGAAGCTGGAAACATGATAGGAGTTAAAGTGTGATAGCTCGGCGAATGAGAAAACAAATACCAAAATAGCACTGACTTCGTCCAATTAATTCACAGGAAGACAAGCAACAAAAAACTGTGTGGTGGGGAAAAATGATGTAAAACTACATATAAGCAATGTATCTGCTGCCTTCTCCTGCATTCTTGAGATAAAAGGGAATGTACTACCCTATGGTATACATCATCCCACTCTAAGCTTTCCACCTCTAGCCAAGAAGACTGGGTAATGCACACATACAACTTATTTGAAAGTTTGGAAATACTACTTAGAAATATGCTATACATAATGAAGTGCAGAGCACTCTACAACTTCTGTTGGCTTCAGAGAACAATGAAATACTCAGCATCTTGAAGGATTAGGCTTCACTTGCTCAACAAAATCTGCCATATCTAATAAGAGCTTAGTTTGAAGTCTCTATCTGAAACTTTGTGATGAAAAGCCCATTGTTCCACGTGTTGAAACATTTTAGCTTGTTGTGGCATTTAGCCATAATAGAACAGAGCAGTTAACATCATATTCTTACTGGAAGGACACCACTAAATCTGCTCCCTCACGTTCCCTGTAGACCCACAAATAGAAGCAGGCAATGTGAAGAGAGGTTCATGAGAATTTAAAATAGGTCCAGGAGGTCCACATGATTCTAAGAAAGCTCGGCTGTACCTTTCCCTAGGTATCTGTCAAATCTCTCTACTGTGGAAGATATTTCAGTGGGACTGTGAGAAGTATAGCTTTGCAGAATGAATGTCTATGTAATTTGATGCATTGATAAAGCCAGACTGAGTGATATGAAGGTCTGGGAGTCATTTGAGAGAGACCTTCAGGATGGATAACAGGGATGTCAAGAATGGTGCAATATGTATAAAAGGGAAGTATGTACTCCTAGGTACCAGACTGCAGGATGCACAGGACAGCATTACAGATTGTGTCTTCTATAATAGGCCACTAGCCAAACTATTCCCAGATAAAACTCGGGATTCTCTTCTAGTAGGAAGAGCTACCTGACTGGAAAAGAAAAGTACAGTGGATGCCTTATCCATTATCATTCCATTGTGAACAATTATAGGCAAGATATTTGAGGATTAGTAGAGGGGTTGATATGTTACGGTGGATTCCAGAATCTAGTTCCTTGAGCCCTGGCAGCTGTGGTGCTCTCCTGATCCCCCTACGATGGCTGAGAACACTGAACAGTACTGCTGCCCGCTATGGGCCAGTTCCCATAGTCTCCTCTGGGATACTGACTACAACTGGGTAACAAGATGAATACAACAGCATGGACAAAAAAATGGCATGCTGTCTCTCAGGACGTGTCATGGGCAAGACAGAGAAAGCTAAAGAAAACAGAAGGAAAGCCTGAATAACTGTAAAAACACAGGGATGGAAGGAAATTGCATTTGGCAATTGTATCATGGAAATTCACTGGAGTCTGTGTAAACAATGACCAGAGAATGGTGGATAAACCAGATGAACCCATTGTGAGTGAGATTGATTTTTAATACATTTTTGTATGTATGAAAAGGTGATTCTAATGAACAATGAAGATATTCAGTTTGTAATCATGCACATTTGTATTTTATTTGTAAAGATGAAAAAATAAAACTCAAACAGAAAGCCCAACAATGTATGAGAAAAAAAATGGGAAGATACTTAGTGGTATAATCCATGTTTCAGTTTAAATGAACAATTGCTTTATTTTAGAAAACAGATTTTTGCTATTAATGAGAATAGCATACCTCAGTTAATGGCAAGGACAGGGCTGGAACAACAGACAGCAGTGCTTTGACTTCAGATAAACACCTTTTAGCCATTTCCTAATGGTATAAAACAAGAAAAAACTAATGCTGTACTATCAGTCTCCTCTGATAAGCTAACAGATGGCTTGGCTTTACAAAATTTTTCAGAACAATTAAGTTTTAGGTTATTCTAGTTGAATTCACAGCAAAATAAAACTTAGCTGATGAATATAAATTTTCTGCAACACAAATAGTTGTGTTTGCCGTACAAATACAAGTGCCCAAACCTTGCAGTTTCTACTGAGGCAAAATTGCCCCTGGCTCAGGTATTAAATCCAGTGAGCAAGCATACTTTTGCTGCGTGTTTACTGAAGACAGTCTAAACAAACACTCTGACAAGATGATATTTATACATGTATAATACATGGCATGTTAATCTTAGTATTCTAAACATCGTTTTTCCAATTACTGACCTATATTAATTAAAGTTTGAGCAAAACCCTTCAGGTAATCAGAAACACCCACTAAAGGACAGCTCTGTCTACCCTCCTGAAAGCACTGTGATTGGCCAAAACATCATTTGTTCTCCAAGCTGGTCAAAATACAGCCTCATAATAAAGGCACAGTGCACAATTGTCACTGTTTCACAGCATCCACCAGACAAAATGACAGCCTCTACATCATTAATCATTTCATATAATAGATATAAAGAGAATCTTGTCACATGATAAATGTCTCCCACTTTGAAAATAAACGTCTATTTTGCCTTGGCATTTATCAAGTAGCAGTTATGCTCTGGCAACATTCTATTCCAATGACATTATCTCAAACAGACCACATGGAAAATTCTGAAATTACCTCTTTTGTGTGTGTATGTGGGGGGAGTTATTTGGTCATGGACCATATACAGCCTTGCTAATAAAAAGAAAAGAGGAAGGTGGCATAGAGAAAATGAAAATAAATTTACTGCCAGTTTTAGTCCTCTCTCAATAGTGTTATTAGAAGGTTCTTATTTCAGAAACCATCACTGCCCATTTTGCATTGAAGATATGTAACTGATTTTTAAAAAGCACTTTTGGGTTGATCGCCATGCTAATTTAACACTATGCCAAGCATTTTCAGATGTAGATTACTATAAATTAGGCATCAATTTTCAAATCTATGTACCTGAAGATGTAGCCTTTATTTTCAAGTGGAAGGTTGAAGATGCCTGATATTTTTGTAAAGTGACAAGCAATATATAAGGAAAAGAAAAAGTTAAATATTAAATGAAAAGTGAAAATATTTCAATATTTCTTGAAAGGGGTGAGGGAGGTTTAATCTCTTATGTCTGCCTTCCAAGTTCCCTGTCATTTATTTCCCCAAAACAGATATCTTAAATAAGACTGTCAGACATATTTAAGAGCAGAACTGTTCTCACTTACTTCTGTTTTTTCATCAAGATGCACTTTTGCAACATTCATTTTGGATTTTTTTGAAGGAATTATTTTCCAGGTTTCACTTTGTTCAAGAAAACTTATGGGTTCTGAAGCTGAAGACAAGCTTTTAGAACTTTGCATCAACATTTCAACTTGCTGCTTCAGATTAGATAATTTCTCCCGTAAAGAAATCATTCTGAAAGAACACAGGATTTTTCATTGTTGATGTTATAAAACGACAGTGTTTGTTGTTTCTATGTTACAGTTAAACTGACCTAGCTTTTATTACATATTGATTAGGTTCTACATTTTCTTTCATTTCAAGAGTGATCTCATAATTTTACAAAAAGAAGTTTTCCATTAAAGAAAGTGGAAATATGGAATATATTAGCTATTTGTATTAAAAATGGTAAGAAGACGTGTTTTAAGTATGCCTCTCTAAGATTTTCTCATCCAACCAGCACAAGGTGGGCTGACAAGCTGGGTGGCAGGGGCTGCAACTCTTGGCCCATTATTCCTTCCCCTCCACCTGCTCAGCAGTTCCAAAAATTCTGGGGCTAGATGAATGACAAGGAAGAAGTAATGCAAAATGCCATAGGATCTAAAATGAAGGGCTGAGGTCTACAACTAAGAAAAATTCTTGCATGCTTAGAGTTGTAATATGGGATGGAGAAAGTAGCTGATCCAGTGAGATAATGGGAATAACTGCTGGGACTGCTTCTTAGATTTGCTAGCGTTTTCTTATGCTGTATGCCAGTGTAATATAATTAGCATGTGTTATTCAGTTCTTTAAGAATCAAAACTAAAATGCTAATGTACTGAAAAGGCATATGTTTGGATGAGTTTAACGCTGTGTACATCTTACAGTTTTTATCGTGAAAAATCTCTGAAAAGCGTCTTACAGCTCTTTGATATTTTGTACTTTATTTCCTCTCATCCTAAATGGTTGACTGATCTTTAATATAGCATGAAATAACAGGATAAAGTCAGTGATTACTTACCTAGCCAACGGAATCCACAAGTGGCCTGAAGACATAGACATTGAACTGTAAATCTTGATGTTGCTAATCTTGACAGGCTTTGTATTATAAGCATAAAGCAGCAAAACCTGTAAAAGAGATGGAAAAGGTAAGCTATAATGCAGTATGGTATAGTAGATCTGAGCTATTTCAGTGACACTAGATTATAATAACTATCAAATACATTGTACTGATGAAGACTTAGATAACTGACTTTCAAAAAAGGGGGAAGTGTGGCGTCATATGGATTTGTACTACACTCAGTTTTTATATGTGTTAAAGCAATTTAATTATGGATATAATTTATACGGGTTTGAAAATTAATTATACCCTATAGAGTCACCATCAAAATCCCAGTCTTGTCCTGATCCTGTCAATCAATCCCACTTATGCTCATGTCCCAAGTTCCAACTTCAGGTAGGCTAAACAGAGAGCTTTTACTGAATTTCCAAAGGCCCTATGTAATTAGTTACATTTACTATATGGCCTTGTGCATGGCTGTCATCATACTAGTTTTAAATCCACGAAGTGCATATAACTCACCAATCTAATGAAGCTGTATCAATATAAGAGCACAAGAAAATGAAATTATTCTCATCTTTCACTGAATTAATTTGCTATTATGATTGAAAATATGCTTCCTAGTGGTAGCTGAATATTTTGACTATATGGAGAATGTCAAGAGTATGGCATTCATATATTAGTTGTTTTCAAGAGTTGTCTTTGGATCTCTAATGATCTGTAAGGTCATGCTAAAGTAACCTGCAAAACTGTATTGAAAAGTACATTATTTGCACTAACTTCACAGGGCTTCTATCAGCTTACTAATAGAGATGAAAAGGGTCTAGTAGAAATTTTGACACTGATCTGTTATGCCAAAAAGTTTGGAGATCATGGATTTCTATTGCAGTAGCAGAAATTTTACTTACATGCTGTTCCCTTGCTTAAAAATAAAACAAATTCTATGTCCTAGTCTCTTGCTTTCCTGTAACCCTCCAATCTCTCTCATCTTTCATGTTTAGTCTGTTTTCTTAGGGTTTACAAAATTTACAAAATCCCTTTTTCCCTGTATATGTGTATCTTTGCTTTTCTGACAGTCTCCCACCAAACAGTATTGTTTGAATACATTGGTCAGCTCTAACCAAACTTAACAGAGTGGAGGTCTTAAAGACATCAAGGACCTGCAAAAGGCATGAATACAAATGGCCTGGAAGCTCTATACGGTCAACAAAGTCTTTCTTTGACCTGCCACCAAAAAACTATTGAGCATTCTGTTTCTCCGGCATAGCAGGTTTGTGGCAGAGTAAATATATAGCTCCCTGCTGTCCAGCTTGCCAATCGGCATACATATAATTCAGTTAAAAACCTGATCAGTCATAACACAAATATTCATTGGAAATGAGACGTAATTTGTTCCAATACCTAAGGAACTACTTTGGTGCAGTTATACCTTAGTCTCTTTATAGTTTGATGGCTTTGCCAGAGAAGGAATATACCACTGAATGTTAATTTCCTTATTTGAAGCATTTGCTGCCCTACTCTCCATCTGACTGTCTGCTTCTGCGATGACAGAAACTGGAGAAGCTATTCTCACACATGACATCTTTGATGTAATTCCAGTAATTTCAAGAGACATCTGAAATATAAAACAAAATTTTAAATTGTATTTTTTCTAGTGTAACATGCAAAATCTGTTATAATCTAGTGTCTACTAGAATCAGTATGACTTTCACTCCTGCACAAATATATGCTTATTTAGATAAATGGGTAATTTTAAAAGGTGTCCATTTTACCAAGTTAAGGCTTTTCAAAGTTCACATGATGAGACATTTCTAAAGGTAATGCAAGGGACTTCTGGGCTGACTTAGAGACACCTACAGTAACAATGATCGTTACATTTGGCTTATCTTCCTTATGGCATTAACGCTTTTTGCTAAAAGATATTATTTGACATGCTGACCATACAAAATTTAGTGCTGACAAAGTAATTTGTCTGCTATACATATTGATAATTAAAATAGTAATCTGAATGCTAGACTAATGCTTTATTTATGTTTACCTATTTGTTTTCTCATTAGCTGTGCAACTAAGGGTGATACCTACTGAAAATTCAGTCACTTAATTTGTGAGGATTTGTTATATGTCATATTTACTAAAATATATATGGAAAATTAGCAGGCTATTCATCAAATAGTTACAGTTTGACCATCATTTACCATGGAAGCAATGGAGGAATACTGTCAACCAACATTTATTCATGAATAAAAGCCTTCTTTAAAATTGTAAAATATTTTATTTAAAGGCTGAACAGCGCCACACCATTTCTACTTTTTAAAGTGTTACGCAGATCTGCAAAGAACAGAGGAGGCCAAACAGTGACATTTTGGGGGAATGCTGAAGCTATTTGAAAAGGTTGTTAGTGTCTCCATCATTGATTCCAAAACATGGACAATGAAAACAGCTGCCTAGGGAGTTAGTTCTTTTTTAATTTTGAATGTTCATTGCTGAAAAAACCTGGAGAATTTTACCCACTTTATTTTCAGAAAATACAGCTCATGACCGATACAGGGCAATAAATCCAGGTGAGTAGAAGATGGATTTTTCACAGTGACATAATCTTACTTCATAAAGCCAGTTCCCATCCCGCATCAAAATACAGTAGAAGTGAAGATAAAGATGAAGTCATGCATGATGAAGTCATGCATTCGAGCATGTGGAAATGCCTTCAGTATGGCATGGGACAGTTAACTGGGGATGATCCATGCCACACAGACTCTAAACACAGTGGCAGTGATAACAGTGGCCATAATCTATGGTATGCCATGAGGTGTGCATGGATCACCCATCTACTGCAAGGATCTTCTACATTCAGGATCTTCTACATTCAGGATCTTAGACTTTAGTTTTGGCAATGAATCACCCACTATCCTGCTAGCATGGAGGGTGAACAAAATTATGAGAAAACACCTATATGAAGGTGAGAACAACCTAATGTATGCTGTGCCTCTGAACTAGAGCTCTTAGAAGTCCATTTTACGATACATATTTCTTTCTAAAATGTGTGGTATGTTTTCTTTTTCACTGAACTGCATCTTTTGTTATTTACATCATATTGAATCTTTTTGAGGAAGGATATTACAACTGCTCTTGTCGAACTGGAGGGTTTCTGAATTACATACATAAATATTTATCTATTCAACTTTGTCAAAAGCCTGAAAACAACAAACTGTCTTAGTTAAGTGTTTCCAATCCTACATACTATCATGGAGTGGAATAAAACAAGCACGCAAAATGTAACAGGGCACACAATTTTAACTATAGCCTTCTTAAGGTAATTTGGATGCTTTGTTCAGCAGAGCTGAAAAAAACTTCAAAAGTCAAAAATAGAAGCGAAACATGTAAGCGAAACAACCTTGTACATAAAAATTATTCCTTCAAAAATTTATTTGTACTGTTAAAAATCCCAGTATCAAATTACAGTAACATTTTTAAAAATAACTTATACAGCCTTCTGAATAGTTAAAGTTTCTAAAAATGTTGTGATAAAAATCAATGAAGCTTAGAATTAAAAAAAGTAAGAGCTTTATGCTTGTTAGCTGTCTACAACAGTGAAGCTAACACATGATTATGCAGCTTGCACCTGTCACGAACATGACAGTGAGCTCTGAAGCTTATTATTCTAGGACAGTGTAATACTAATTATGTCAAAAGAAGAGCAGACAGAGTAAAATAATTTTTGATATACAATGGCTGTTATAAATGTCACATACCATATATTTACAATTTATTCAGTGATACAGTCAGCTCTTGTTGGGAAAGGAGTAATGATATGCTGTCCAACACTGCAGGAAGTTCACCAACTCTAGAAAAGCTACTTTCACAAAAGTATTTTAATTCTTTTTTATAAGATAACAAGTTCTTACTCCTCAAGACTCCCCTGTCTCCATCTAATACTGAACATAATAGGTAAAAAATAAGCCATAGAGAGTAACCTGTCATTTTAATTTTTTAGTATTAGGATAATTATTAATGTGAGAAGTGGGATGGAGAAACTTTGAAGACAATTATTTTTACATTGAATCTTCAAAGACTTTTACTACTCAATATTCAATACATATGCCATAGTCAGCATAGACTCCAGAATACCAATTCAAGATTTCTCTGAGTAAGATAGTCTGAGCTGCCTACATTTAAAAGCTCAAATAGGCTGTTCACAAGCCAGAAATCTGAAAAGATTGATTTTCTAGCCAGCTGATAATCACTGAAAAAAATTGGCACACAAGGCCTTCAACAAATTTTGAGAAAATATAAATTACATATTTTTTGAAAATCATGTTTTTATTATAGACCAAATTAACAATATAGGGGCTTGTACATACAAATTACAAAGCAAACATCAGGACATTTTTGGTATGAAACATGGAGATCTACAAGATTAAAAGCCTCAGTGCTACAAAATAACACAGCCACCTTAATTACCTAATAATGAAATCTTCTTAAATATCATTCTGCTTAATCTTCTGGGGTCTAAATACACTGGGCATGGGATAGAGATCATTTTTGCGGGCATGAATAACACAAGGATATTTGCATTTGTTAACTATGTCCTTCATTGCTTGCACAGGATTTTGATTTTGCACTGATCCTCTGCATAATGAATTTCATTCTTCTATAGAGCTCTCAGAAATATCACCATTGGAACTAGCAAGAATCTGAGGGAAATGCAAGTATTATACATATTTTTGAAACATCAGAAAGAAAATAAGTACCTTTGAAGAATCAGCTGGCCTACCAAGTGGCAATTCTATATCATGTAGCTCTTCTGGGAAATTCTCAAGACAACACATTGAATATTCAAACAAATGCTTTTTAAGAAAGGAATGCATTTCTGCTATGCGTAGAACAATCCCTGTGTCAAAAACAGAACTAAAGTGTCCATCTCTTGCAGAAAATGATCCAGGTCCTGAGTTAGGGGCAGCTTTGAAAAGAGATTTTTATTACATCGTCATTTGCCATTAAAAAGTAAAGTTTCTTCAGCTACTCAATATTAATAAATTTTAAAAATATAGTAAAATATGTAAATTGATTCAATATCAAATAAATTAATTTCCAACAATTACACTGATTATCCTTAAATATTACTATTATAGGTTATGCTATTCGTATTGCAATTTTTCACTGGAGATCTGATAATGAAACAAGCTCTTGCCAGACATTATAAAGTAGCATAAAATGGGAGGTGCAGTTTTGAGGTTTAGGTACTTCAATTTAGATGTGTAAGCATCAGTACATTCACTAGATGTTTAAGCACCCATAAATGCTCATTTATTCAATGCAGTCCAAAGAAGCTCTAAGAGCTCTTAACACTCTAATTTAGACAGCTAGTGGCTGATCAGCTGAGTCGCTCCGTAGGCTCCATCATTGCTAACTACAGCTGAGATATAAATGCACATTTTGACACCTCTTGTAGATACCTTATTGTCCTTACAGTTCTGTGGTGAGGTAGAATACTTCCCTTTCATTTGGTGCTGCAAGGAAAAAAACCCAACCCTCTCTGAAATTATTATTTTCAGAGTTGCTAGGTTTCTCTCTAGGCAGCACCTACGTGCACAATCTAGTTCTGTTCTCACCTATCAGGTTGTCACTTGTACATCCAGCAGCTGGCCATCAGATGTAGATGCATGGTATTAGGGCCCTGAAATTAATGGATTCTTACTCTTTTTGAAAGGTCCTATCTATTACCATCTTTTGTTTACAGTGAAATAAACCAAGTATGTACATAACATCTGGGGGTTTAGTCAAAACACATTCAATAATGCTCAGCCTTCCCATTTATACTACACTCAATTCTCACAAACAGGTCCCCAAACTGAACAGATTTATTTCTGATGTGGCTTAAGTCTGACGTATCTAGAACTAAAAATAAATATAGATTACGAATTTTTTAAAAATGCTTCAGATATAGTAATAACAATTAAGTTTTGAGGGATGCTTTTCCTGGTATCATGAAGGCTTATGAATAATTATGAAAAAAGGTAATAATATCTTCACTTACAACACTTGTAAACTGACATAAATCTTTATTTCAGTGAAGATTTTTTCACATTTATACAATTTAAAGGAACTCAAAATGAGACTATCATCTCAGATGATGGCCTTAGAATCTGACACTGTTGGCCCCCAAGAACAATATCTCACCTATGGCAGTTTTCTAGAAGGAAGAAAAAATTCATACCAAATAGAAGGTTTGTGTTATAAAGTCTTTTTAAATAACTATGGTAACGAATTAAATGAACCCATGTTATTGTCTCTTTCTTCTGGCTGGCCTTGGTAACAAGACTTTCTGTTCCTTCACTTTGGCTCTGCTTGTCTTGTATGATTTGTTTGTTTTCAGTAGAAGAAGCTGTGGGACTTTCAGAGACAACATTGTATCCATCTGCAAAGGCAATAAGAGTTCAACAATACACATTAAGTGAATGGTTGCAATTCAAAAGCTATTTCTGCATTGTGTTGGAATTGACTAATCTGTAACTAAAAATGTAACTTGTGAACCTGGTTATGTTTTTCATAAGAGGAAATTTTTTTCTATTTTGCTTTAATATTAGTTGAACTAGTAAGGAAACTCTTTCTCTGATCATGGCCAGGAATCTGACTGGTCCTTGCAAGAAGCTGAAAGGCGTAGAGAGCAAGGTGCTTTCTCTCCCTCTGAATTTAAATATAAAACCATTATTTCTACACATTGTTCAATAGCAGATATTTACTAAATGGAAACAATACTAGGAGTCATCAGTCATAACTACAGCAGTTGAACTTCCCAGTTATATTGACCTGAATTCAGAAGAGTTAGGTACTCTGAAATGTTTACTGTTAGCTTCAATCCAGTCCCTTTTAGATATTAAGCACATCACCAATGAAATGTGTTCTTGACTATGGACTAAAAAAATCTTTTTTTTTTGGTGCTGCCTAAAAATTGTAGTTATGCAAAAAGGGGAAAAAAAATATCCGTACAGTTATCACTATATCACTGCTTATAGTAATTTTTTTTTTCACTGTATTAGTACGTGGCTCTCTTAAAAGCCTACACAATTCTGCTGTTTCTCATTCCAAATTGAACAAACATTATGTTGCAGTAATTCCTAATAGTAAACTTCCAGAAAATAATTATGTGTGCTTCTGCAAAATCTGAATGTCTCCATTCACTGATATTTCACTGTCAATTGTAAAAACAGAGTTTAGTTAAAATGGCCACATTGTTTATAGATGAAACTTAAACCATGTGTTTCACTAATGGTTTTACAGAAAATATTTAGTACGCTGTGCTGATCATTTCCATTTCAATTTACCTTTATATATTTTGGCCTACTATTGCTTTTCTACATTTTCTGTTCTTTGTATTGCCTAACAGAACTATCAGGAGAAACACCTGCTGCATTTGCTAAAAGAAAAAATGATCTGTAATTATAGGCAAATGGAGCTAGTACAAAACAATCAGATTGATGGAAGGTCTTAGCATACAACACTTGTTTTCATAAACCAATCAAAACACATATGTTTAAACATTGTACAGTAAGTAGACATTGCTCAGCTTTGCCAGCACCTATCAGGCGGAGCAATTCAATCTTTGTCAGTCACTTGGGATGATTGAAATTAAGCCCCTGAACCAAAATTTTACAACTAAATTAATGTTTCCCAGTTTAAAAATAAATATAGATATTTTGCCTTAGTTTTCATATAACATCTGGCAACCATTACCCCAGAATTCCTAGTTTCACTGATTTTTTTTTTAAATCAAAAACTTCCATTTCATCAACTCCATTAGCTGTAAAATAAATGCAGAAATTGGAAATAAACTAGGCAAAGGCAAAGTTCTACCAAGCTAATGGAAGCATCTCTAAATGATAATCCATTGGACTGGAAAGACAGTGAAAATTTTTTTATTATACTGACTTTGACTTTTAGAATACAGTACCCTGGCAGATAACTTTGCAAGAGTTTGGGTTTGTTGGTTTTGGTGTTTGGGTTGTTTTTTTTTTTTTTTGCGGGGGGGCAGGCAGGGAGATACAAGCTATTCAACACCAACATATCTTTGTAAAATCAAAAGAAAAACTGAAAATCTCCACGGAAAAGCTAATATACCTAGGGAAAAAATCTGTTCTAAATCAGTGTTTGAAAAAAAAGCAGTGATGACTGATAGGGGCGCCAAGACCCACTCTAGAAGTCTGGGGAAGTCCAGTGACAAAGGTCCATCTGTTTTTCTAAAAGTATGGCAGTTATGTGCACTCTGTCTTTCTGAGCCACAGTGTGCAAAAAATGCAATTTTTCTTAACCTATTGAACACATGCACAGGCTGATATTTAAAGACCCATTAGGTCTACTCACACCACTAGCAGTATTTTGTACTGCTATGCAGGATGAGGATTTTGCTTTTACTTTCCAAATATGACTTATAATTTTTCATAAATGAAAATTAGATATTAAATGTATTACTAGATTACATGGCATATATAGTTTATTAGTTATTTAATGTTCTAAAATTGCTAGGTATAAAGGAATACCAGATAAGAAATCTCTATACGAAGCAAGAAGATCCATGGAAGCAAATTCTGGGATTTTCTGTTGCACTGCATCCTTCATGCTGTGTTCTTTAACACTCTTCATTCCAATTAATAGCTGAGAAGCAAGCACAGCTTCACTGACCTAAAAATAATATTTATTTTATTCAGAACCAGTTCACTACAATATTTATATAGACCTTAAAATCTGAGATTAGAAAGATGATGACAAAAAATTAATTACTTAACATACTATATTTTTAAAAGTCAGGAAAATATTCTATTTCCCATTCTATTTCCCTCTGACATATGGTACATACTGTACTTAAATAAATCATTACTGCTGACAGCTTAATTACTACATAAGTGATTTCAAATCAGATATCCTCACCTGGATGCCACTGATGTCTACCCACATGTCAAATACATGTGCATACATATCAGGTAGTGTGCTGTTTTATTTGCACTGAATCAAAGTTGAGGTAAACAGAGTCAGATCTGTCCAAGAGAGATTAAATGCACTACTCGGACAGCGTCCATTTTAATTTCCTCAAATAAGACCCATGCCAGAAATTTCAGGAAACCTTAATTCTTGCCTTGTTTGCATTGTCTTGTTTGCATTGCCTTGTTTGCTTGTGTAAGTAGCATAAGATGAAATTAAAAAAAAAAGAAATTACCTCTTCAGAATATTGCACCAACCTGTGTAGCTGCTCTTACTGCAATCCATGCTTGTACTTTGTAGCCTTCTGATTTCAGAGCCTCCTCAGGAGAAGAAGACAGTTCTCCAGAAAAGGTCTAAAATTATACACCAGTTCATAATTAGGATTTTAAAAGTATTATGGTAAAATATATTTTAAAGATAGAAAAAAGTCCTCCTACTTACAGAATTACTGTTTTATTTACAAGTTGTAAAAATCAGCATTGATTGTAAATCCACGGATTAATTGCTAAAATTGAAAAAAATTTTCCAGAGCATACTAATTGGCTGCTCCTGTAAAAATTTTCTCAGCAGCTCATACTATGGTCAGTACTGTATACAGTTTTGCTATAATTTTCCATTTTCTGGAATCTTAATTACCTCTTTTCTCTTATGTTACACATTATGCTTTGAATCTATGGCTTGTAGCCACTTCAACATGGTTAAAGCCTTTTATATTTCTCATGCTGTCACTCGTACTGAAAAATTGAAATCTGGTAAAGTATAAATATTACCACTTAAAAAACAGGTTTGAATGTTATGTTTTCTTTGCAAGGTACAAATTAGTTAGTACATAATCAGAAATGAAAACACTGTTGGTTCTGTTTCTTCCTATTTTATACAGAAAAATATTTTAAATTTTACCCTTCAATGCAATAAACATGAGAAATAACATCAAACAAGATAAAATTTTACTGCTGTACTATATGATTTCTTTGTGTGATTTTTCTAGTAGGATTTTCAGTACCAGTATGATTTATAAGTCACTGTAAGTAATAGTCTGGCAAGGTGCACAATGTTCTAACAGAAATGGATTTCCTGCTTTGAAGAGGCCACTACCCAAAAGATAGAAAACATACGTTTGATTTGGAAGTCACCATCTTATCTGTCTGTGACACATCCTCATTATTTGTGGCAAAATGCAAATATAATAGTGCTATTTCAAGGTATGATCTTCTTATTAACCTGTAAGAAACAACACACAGATCAATGTTACTATCAAAGTAAGCATTACGATGATACAGTCTGACTCCTGATAAGACTAGCCAGACAGCCTCACCAAATAAATCATTCATCCAGCCCTCATCATGTACTTAAAGTGTATCTTCTTTCAGAAAGCCACGTGATCCTGTTTTAAAGCCTTAGTGAGTCTAAAACATCCCTATGATATGCTTAACAAATAAGTCATTGATTTAAGAGTACGTCAAATATAATTTGCAACAAATATTCCATAAATAAATTGCAAATACTTAGTAAGAAAACTGTAGTTCTGCAAGGGAAGTGATCTTTCTGTACAAAAACTGTATGGGTTCCTCTTCCTTCCTCAAGTTAAGGCATATATCCATTGTCCTGGTTTCTCTGAAATGTTGGAGGCTGAATTTGGATATGGGTCTTCAGTCCAACTCTTACAAGAATCAGCAAAAATACCCGCAGTGACCAAAACAGTCTTTCATTTCTCCATTGGGCTCAGCTGAGCAAACTTCTCAGTTCTGAGTTCTGTACCAAAATACTCTATATCTTCAGACAGACTGTGCTCATCAATTCCTGTTCTCCTCCTATACTTCCTTCTCCTTTCAGTTATTTTTACAGTAGTATTATAATCCAGGCAAAAATCATAGACTCATAGAATCATAGAATGGTTTGGGTTGGAAGGGACCTTTAAAGGACATCTAGTCCAACCCCCCTGCCATGGGCAGGGACATCTTCAGCTAGATCAGGTTGCTCAGAGCCCCATCCAACCTGACCTTGAATGTTTCCAGGGATGGGGTATCTACAACTTCTCTGGGCAACCTGTTCCAGTGTTTCACCACCCTCATTGTAAAAAATTTCTTCCTTATAGCTAGTCTGAATCTACCCTCTTTTAGTTTAAAACCATTCCCCCTTGTCCTACCGCTACAAGCCCTATTAAAAAGTCTGTCCTCATCTTTCTTATAAGCCCCCTTTAAGTACTGAAAGGCTGCAATAAGGTCTTCCTAGAGCCTTCTCTTCTCCAGGCTAAACAACTGCAACTCTCTCAGCCTTTCCTTATAGGAGAGGTGTTCCACCCCTCTGATCATTTTCGTGGCCCTCCTCTGGACCCGCTCCAACAGGTCCATGTCTTTCCTGTGCTGAGGATTCCAGAGCTGGATGCAGTACTCCAGGTGGGGTCTCACCAGAGTGGAGTAGAAGGGCAGAATTACTTCCCTCAACTTGCGGAAAATCAAAATATCTGGAGAACTTCTCCAACATTTCTGTTCCCTATAGGTTTATAACAGTCTTTTTATGCAGGTTCCTCCTGGCTCTGTAGATCTCTCCAGATCTCCCCTATGAATTAGCTTTCCCAAGCATAGCAACAAACTCCTGCTCATGCAGTTACTGTGCTGGACAGAGTCATAGTGCACAGAGTTGGCTGTTTATATAGTACAATAAATTCCAGCTTTGGTAAATTTCCAGATTTGTGTAAAGCAAAATACAAAAGTCAAAGAGTGCTGTACAGTTCAAGATAGGGCAAACTACGTGCAAAGATGGCAAGTTCTACACTTAATTGGTGACAATTTAGTTAACTTTCTAGTCTTGCCAACAAAAAACGATTTGAGACATCAAGAAACAACTTTAATTAAATGATCCCATAGATATCAGAGGGCTTGTATAAAGGTGATCGGGATGTTTAGTTCTCTAAAATAAGAAAGCCAAGGTCCGTCGATGTTGCTGTACATTTTTTCAGAAAGACGGTAGCTAATTAAATAAGAGTGTAGCAAATTAAACTTGCAAAACGTCACCACAGTCCATTTCTGTACTATCTTCCATCATGCTGACTACTTGTAGAGGTTTATTACTATGCTACTGCTTCGGTGTTCAGAGTTCTGGTTCATTAACTTAAGTAACAAAATACCCAAACAAGCAAGGTAAATTGCTGCCTTTACACTGTAACCAGACATGGCACATTATTCATTAAGACTGGTCAAGAAGCTAAAAAAACCAGAAGTCCAATGTATCAGAGCTGCTTGACAGAATTTATTGGCTTGCTTGGCTCAGCCCTTCAGGCACCCTCTATGCTGATAACTAATGCCAAAGTCAGTGTCCTGATATCTGTTACAAACACATTTCCTATGCTCCTTTTGCCTCTGTTCTTTGACTGTTTCTGGCTGCTAACCTTTTCAAGCTGGATTTCTATTATCTGGAAGGGGGCAGACTACAGCTCATCTTCTGAAATATGAATAAGACCCCTGTTTAATTGATAGCTCTGTTCCTGGTGTTGACAGAGAGGGTACAAATTTGGAAATAGAACAGAAAGCTGTAACTTTGTATACTCTAAAATACGCTTTTAAATGTTCTCAGCATTTTTTTTAAATAAGAGAATAAATATACAGTAGCTCTTCTATAGTGCAATAGAAGAAAACTCTCCAAAACATAAAAGATGCTTTATAATAGAAGTCACACACCAAATCTCAGAAAACTGTCAAAAAACTATAATCATGTGTGATTAAAATTATTTCGAAAGTTATATAGCTAGTTTCTTACTCAAATTTTTGGTCATGTTGCTGGCTGAGTTTTATAGCTTCCACCAGGGTTTCAACAGCTTGAGATGACTTGTTATTGCCTGCTTCAGTTATCTGGAGTTCTACCTTACCTAAGAAAGAAATATAGAAAGCAGATTTGCAAGATTTTTTTTTTTTCCTGCAAGACCCAACCTGTTTTTCCGTCCAAGAAAGTTGAACAACATAGTGCATTATCTATTCTCTTCCTGATAAGCAAAATCTTTTCCAGTTTGTTTAAAATGTAATGCACAATGCTTGTATAGCAAATTACTTCATAGAGTAGCTAAAATAATCAAACTTTGGAATCATAATGACTCCTAACGTGTAGTGATCCTAACTAGAAGACCATTGTACATGGAGGGGTTAATGCACAGGCACAGGCCTGTTCTGTGCTGCGCTGTGCTGCACATACAGCGTGGCCTTCAGGCCTGTGTTGTGCTGTGCACATCCCTTAGCCACAGGATAAATATAGCCAGCTAGCTGTTACAGAAGAGCCTGTTGGCAGCATCTTCTCAGTACACCACCTGCCCTTTCTGTAAAAATGCAGCAAGAAGTTCTTATGTGAATATGCTTTTTGTTTGACAGTAGAAATGAAGAATAGAATTGTTTTCTTTTAAGAAAATCCTCTAACAGCTCAAAAGACCAAAATGAGGCAACCTTTCCACAGACAGGATCTGCGTGTTGTGCTACATCCTGATTGGAAGCCCATTCAATACTGCACAACTTGGGGTTCTCAGCATCTGAAGGGACGTAAGATTATTTACACTATCCTCTTTTTCTTTATAGTGTTAACTCCAATAAATGGCATTTTAAAAGATACTTTACAGAGTCTGAGTGCCTTTCTGGTTGGGATCCTAACAAACCAACACCTCCTGGTGCAAAATATAATGCCACTAAAATCCAAATGCGTGCAAACACTGCGAAATTCATTAGCTTTGTTAAATCATTTAGAAATATTTTCTGAGCCTCTAATCTTCTTTAGTTCAGACTGATGCAAAGAAGCTAATTAGCTTTCTACAGTGTCCTTAATCTCATTGGCTACACCCTTTGATCCCTGATAACATAGAGGTGGGAGAAGTTCTACTGCAGTTTTGAAATTATTTGTTGCGTAATGCATGCTGAACTATGCTGGTGTGATACTAAACATAGGAGAGAGATCTGCAGCTAGACAGGGTGAGAAATATCCAAATCTGTTCTATTTTTACAGTAAAATGTCTCCATTTTAAGAGAAGCCACATGCATAACATATTGCCTAGGAAGGCAATCATGTTGTACAAACAGGGTTTTATTTACCTATTTGAAAAAGAAGTTCAGCTTCCATATCTAATTTTTTTGTTGCAGATGCTCTGGAAAGCTTCAGTGCTGATTCTAAATGTTTGAGAGCACGTAGCCATTGCAGTGGATCTCCTCTTGCAGGTGTACAAGCTACTTTTTCAGCTAATGAATGTCCTAAGGAAAAAAAAAAAAAGACAGTTCTTAGTAAATTATTTAATAGAAAACCAATTTATGCAAAAAGAAGCAACTTGCTTAGAACAAATACTGTTAGGTATTTACTGTTACAATCCAATTCTCAAAAATCAGAGTGATTAACGGATATCAATACAGAACTATAATGTTGTTTCACTACTTTATGATGCCACTGAGGTTTACTTAAGCCATCCAAAAGAAGCTCAGGCTACACAAATCAGCCCTTTCCCAAACTATCTGGAAAGACTAGCAGTAAGCCACTTCATAACTTTATTTCACTTGGCAGTTGTAGGCAAAACCTAAAGCTCTCTGAGCATTTCCAAATTCCCAAATTCCTTTTGTAATAACCAGCTCTAAAAACTTCTTTGATGTATTGCATACTTCTTATACTGTACTCCCCAATATTCATCTGTATTCATAGGCTCTTTTTAAAAATATGGATTCAGAAACAGGAACTGGTCAAACATGGCCATTACTATGAGTGAGTCTGGCCATGCCTGCACTGACAAGCAGTAAAGCACAGTAAGAGTGGATCTCTAGAGCAAACCAGCTGGTGTTGAAGACCTGACAACCATAGCAGAGTGTTTACTTTGGACTACCTCTCTTCTAGTCCTAAGTGCTGAATACAAAGTAGTGGTTGGGGTGCACCGATGTGCTCCTGGAGCACATCTTCCCGAAAAAGAATCCAGAACACTCTGAGGCTGCTCCACAATGTGAACCAAACTGCAGTAAGTGATTTCTAGATTTCTAGTCCATTATAAGTCAGATATACATCAAATTAAGTTTAGCAGAAGGAACATGGAGACAATATCCCCTTCTTTCTATACAGCTATACAGCAACAAATCTCAGACAGATCTTAAAAGTCATCTTCTGTTACTATTCAGCATATTTCCAAGTTTCTATATAAAGAAAAGTTATCAGGAAAAGTTGTTAAATTAAAGGGTGACAACAATAACAGACACTATTTATTTTATTGGAATAGAGAATTATCACTATTATTCTGTATGATATGATATCATTAGTTAGTTTCCATATAACTGCTTCCAGAAAGATGGAACATATACAGGAAGTTTTCACAGAATGAATGCTTTGTACAGAAGTTGGAAAAGTACTGTTAACTTCCACTTAAAAAAATGGAAGTTCCCATTAGTTTCATCAAGCTATAACATTAATATTTAAGCCTTTGTTGATTATAATTCCTGTAGGAATTGTACCTTGCTTATACACATTGCATGGAGCCAAACAGGCATCTACTGTTGGTTTTCAAAATATTTTATTTGTGTATGAAAACAATTGATTTACTACATTCACTTCTGATCCATCAGTTTATCTGCTGGTGCATAAAATATGAATGAAAATGAATGAAAAATTAAAAATAATAATGACTTGCATTTTTCTTACCGATTCTCATTTTGACTTGGGCTAGCAAGTTGATATGTGGCAAGTAGATATTTTTTGCAGGTAGGACCAGGCAAGTCAATGTACTGTCTTCTATTTGCCGTTCAATGGGTTCTCCACAAACAAAAATCTATGAAAAGAGTATGCTTTGTAAAATCAAGTCGCAGACAGCAAATTAAATAGTAGTTTGAAAAACTAAGTTAGGTATTGCAAAACCCTGGAACTCAAATGTGTCTTGTAAAAGAGCACTAGAAAAGAGCTTGATACTCCCAAACCCCTTTACTTCACTTTGTCTTGTTTGCAGAGGAGTTTGGTAGCAAATGAAGAATTTCGATGAACTCTTGAGCAAATTTATTAATGTTAGGCTTTGGTTTCTAAAAGCAAACTCCCTCAAATCATCTTTAAGAAATAGATCTCCCAAGTGACCTGAGCCCTACAAAGAAACTGTCATTTCTACAAAGAAATGTGACATCCAACAAAGGCCAGAAAAGAAAAAGAAAATAACATTTATGGACCAGTCAAACTTTTAATTCATGGCAATAAGGCAATAGGGGCATGCTGTAAACTGTTAAGTCTCTTGAAGGCTAACAAGTCTCACAAGCGGAAGTCTGAGTCTGAAGTGATTCATATGATTCTTTATTACTTGGGGAAAAAATATTTCAATGGATTAAACTTCTGTATTAGGAAATATGAGGAAAGAATTTGATCCAAAAGCTTTTCTTTATAAACTGTATCAAGAATGGATAGAGACTGCAGAAGTGCATATCTATTTTTGGATCACCAAATAGGTAAATGGTTTATTACTAGACATTCCTCTCACAGATTTCATGTCTTTAGATTTTTTTTTTTTATTGCCTATTTAAATTTTTACCTGGAAATGATTTCTTCATACTGATGTCAACAACCTGTCAATCTAAAACATCATAAACAATATGCTACTTTATATAGATTTTCTAATTCAAATTATTCTAAGTTAAGATAAAAAGCTAAGTTCTTAAACTTGGATGCTCAAGAGTTAGGAATTTCATGAGATGTACATCCTCCCTGAGGTGCTGTGTACGAACATATCCCTCTGTTCAAATGGGAGAGATGAGTGTTCCACATCTCTTTGAAAGTCAAACTACCTATTTCGATTTTTACATATGAATGTACCATTTTGCAAGCATTCAATATTTTTAAATTGTATGAAAATACCAGACTACCTACAGGAGTATACATGATGAGTATGCATAAATAAGTTTGGTAAGATGAATTACTTCTTTACATTATGTAATCTAGGGAAAATTGAAGTGATCAGGTAATAGGAATAGCCCTTTTTAATAAATTGTTAAAATAGCTTTCAGAATAGATAATTAAGATTGTTGGAAGGATTTGCAAATGCTGTGTAAATCACTAACATATACTCACGGCTTTAATGGTAAGCTCATGTGCCAAAATTAGTAAGTTTAATGGTTCCACTGTAGAAGAGCAATGTTCTGTATCCTCTACTGTTTGCAGTGTTAGTATGTCTGCCAGCAGAAGCATACTTTTCACAAGAGTCAAAGAAGCTGGAGGGGAAATAAATGTATCCTCTTGGAGTAAACTGATGATATTCTGTTTGGACATAGGCAACATAAACCCAAGTAGTTAGTACGTTTGCTCTCTATTTATGAGGACAAATCACACAAAGTGAAAAAAAAAAATCTATCTTAGCAGCACTATTTCAAGCTTATTTAATGCTGGCATCAGCTGTTCTGACTACATGAAGAATGCATCAAAGAAAAGCGAACAGTTTCTCCTTTGTGCTCAAACCTGCAAAAGAAGTTTAATGCCTGCCACGGGACGTTTTTCTTGCAAGTCAAGAATAGCAGCTTGCACCATCATTTCAGCCTGAGTCTCGATATCACCAAAGGCTTCTGCCTCTAGTATTACTTCTTTTATCACACTTCTGCGTTCAGCCATATCATTTTCTAAAAGAAGAAAATATATGAATAGTAAAAATACAATAGAAAAGACTTTACGGTATCTTCTACCATTCTTAAGAAGTCACTTCCACACTAAAAGGTTACAGAAAATCTGACATTATAGATTCATCGATTCTGTGCCAAATTTACTTTAAAAAGAAAGAAAAACCACTTAGTTTTTAAACTGCATTTGGTTTAAGTTCATCCAAATACACTCTTTATATGTAAGCCACCAGCATAAATAATTAGATGTTGTAGACCAGATGTCATTCTCACCCATAAAACATATTCTACATATTCAAAAATCTAATCTTAGTTATCATTCCAAAATAGTAACCGCCTTCACAGGAATTATCCAGAAGAGATTAAGTAAGAGTTTGGCTACAGACCTAGACTGTGATTTTGATACTTAAGTGAGCATCAGAGTTTATACTAAGTTCATAGAACTAAGGAATGAAAAACATTTTATTCATAATCAAACTGCAGTAAATGTATTTTGTAGTTTCTCATGTAAATTCTTTAAAAAAAAAAAAAGAATCTGGAACATTTTTAGGAGATAGGAACATTTTGTTTATTGGAGATATAAAAAGTGAAAAAAAAACTTCTGAGACTTTTAAAACTAGAAGTATGTAGCAACAGTATTTTCTTAAAACAAGCATACTTACTTAACTTAATTACTCTAGAATATTTGAAACTTTTTCACACACGAGTGATTTATCAGAAGATAATAATCATTACATGAACATTTATATAATGCTTTGTGTTTACCTGCTCTAGGAAGAGACTGTACTCAGAAATTTTTTTTCTTTTTTGCATTGGATAAAATTAATACAAATAATTGCTCAGTGATAACACAGCCCCAGAATTAATGTTAATATTTTTTATTCATGAATAAGAATTGTGTCTGAATAGGCTCACTTGCCCATTATACTCCGAAAGTCTAAACCAAAAAAGCGTAATACCTTCCATATCACCAACGCCATGTATCTGTGTTACTAGCGCAGTCACTAACATTGTACGACACTTTAGCCACAGTTGTATGCTCATATGATCTTGTGCTGTTATACTGTGAGGCAGTTGAACATCTTCAACATAAGAGTCCTAATAATTTCCAAAAGCAAGAGAAATGTTACTTTCTGAGTCAACTGCTTTACTGCAAACAAAGCAACAGGGCAGCATTAGTCTAAAATAAATCAAATTAATACGAATATATTACAAATAATAACATAATTATAACCAGCAGTGTATTTGAAGAGTAGATACATATTTTTTTAATAACAGGAGTCCACTTATTATTTAACTTTTAATCTATAGAAAAAAAAGAATTGTAACAAATGGAAAATAAACTAGCTTTTATGGGAGAGTCCATAAATATATCCATATACCATATGCGTCATGGAGAATAATTCTAACACTTTGGACTTCATTCCTCTCAAACAGGAACATTACACAAAACTCTAAGGCACATAATAGTCTAATTGTAGAGCAGGATCAATATCAAGTTCTGGTACCTCACCAGCGATTAGAAAGAAATTTTTAATTTTTTGTTTCTAGTTTTTAGTGTTTCTGGTGATTAGGAACAAATATTAATGTAACATAGTACTGGAAGTGTTTGGGAGAATTCTCAGCTCAACTCCCTGTGCCATCTTCACATACTATAAACCGTCTTTCTATTACTAAAATTCTACAGTCCATATTCTAAAGATTTGTTCCAGCAAGCAATAAATGGACACTGCACCACCTGTGTTTTACTTATACAAAAAATCATCATGAATGACTTGGCGTTGATGCAAATGGGGAAAAAAAATAGCCATAACTGAGTTACTGGCTACAGGGCAGTCCTAAGAAAATGCAGAAGCAAGTGCAGAAAGACAGAAGACCTTGATATGCAACACAGAGAATAATTACACTGCATGCAAGAAAGTCCAGTCTTGTTATGCATGTTACAAAATCTGGCCTCACTGCTCAATTGCTCTGTCCATGTGAGTCAGTTTGACTTGCTTGCACTTGAGAGTAACTCTGTGGTGTATTACCAATAGGTTTTGTACATTGGCTTTCCAAAGTATAGGTCAGTATCCCTATGTGTTAGACAACAGAAGTCAGCTGAAATCTTGCTAAATTTGGAACACAGCAATGACGTGAACTGTTCTGTTTGGCTCTTTAAAAGAGGATACTCTGAAGTAGGTTTTCAATCAAAAAACCTAAAATACCTTAGCTAAATAATACAAGATTTTCACCTGATAGCTATTTTTTCCACCTACTGTTTGTTTGGGGTTTTTTAAACAAAAGGAGATTTTCAATGCTGGCATTTGAGAGTATACAAATAAAACCTGTAATTCCTAACCACATACAAATTAAAATGATGATTATAGACTTATTGAATATATTATAGGCAAGCAGGTAACTGAAGCATGTCATACATCATTTTCTCCCCAGGTTAATGGCAACCACATAATACAGATGACTGCTATGTTCTAGTATTCTGAAAAATCACTCAACACTTAATACAAGACTTCATATACTAAGAAACAGTAGTTTAAAACAAATATCCACACATACCGAACACACCCTTTCATCCTTTTCTTCCTGAAAATGTGTCACTTGCATCCTAAAAATTTTTGCATCTTGGAGAAGTCGAATTGCAGAGAAAGCCAAAGCAACGCTGTGTTACAAAACAATATTAGTAAAAAATACTAACTATATTAGCCATTTTATGCTTTTATTATAATAGATACTTCATTTCTGGCTACATCAGAGATGTCTATCAGCAGTTATCAATTTATGCTTCAGTTGAACAAAAAAATTGCACTCGGAGTATATTCTGAATTTGTAGGCACTGCAGTATGGAAGTGAGAAAACAGCAGTAAGAGAAAAAGTTTTGCCAATAACAGACATAACCTGATAATAATGGATAAGCCAAGATATATCATACTCTGTTGGAGCAATCAAAACAGAACTCCACTATAACTTTCAGTTACACATATCTGTCTTCAGGGATGGGCTTTTAGAAATTAGAAGATGTAAAAATACTGAAAATGACAAAATATATTAGGAGAGTTCTGTATCTCATCCACAACTAGAGAGGTAAGAAAACACCTTCCTCCTTAAAGCCTTTCCAGACTATATGTTAATCCTTCTGTTAAATCCAGATGCTGTCTTTTTAAAGCTTTCAGATACACTGCTCAATTTCCATGACATCTATAGAAATGTATATCTCTAACAGCAGACTGTGAATACTATTATTTTCATGATATGAAGACACTTGCAAAACCAACATAGTGAGAAGATTTTTTTCACAACAGCATTTGTTGCCCAAAGAACATGCTACTCAAAATATTCTGAACTGCCAAAACCAATGTCTCATCGTATTAGTTTTCCATCTCTAATTGTACATTTTCCCCTACATCTGTAAATCTCTACTTTCCTACCTCTTCTCTAAAACATTTTGAGCGTTGGGTTTTTTTTTTTTACAATTCTACTTATTCTCTACCCACTGAAACATATTTTCCTAATGATGCAAAAGTACCTGAGGATATCCCTAGCAGGTTAATCGTTTAAAATGTATAACCAAAATTCTCATCTATGCTGTCTTTTTACATAGAGAGACTCTCTTAACATAGAGACTGGCTGCTATGAAGTAAAAGAAAAAAATAATTTATGAACACCTTAAGTCCTTTTTACACTGCCAGAACACTGTGAAGAGTTTTTAAAGCAAGAGAGATTCAGGCTCTGTGAGAATTTACTGCTTTTGAGAAGTTCCAGATTAATTGTTGTAAAGGCAAAGTTCTTGATTCATGCACAAAGAAGTCAGAACAAGAGCAGCAGTGCTCTGAAATTACTCACATTATTCTGCCAACATGTATCTAACCACAGGATGGATAACCTCCAGAGATAAGAGGGTAGTTAAAATCTTCCTGTCATTTCTGATTCTATCCTGCTTGCTGTTTTTGTGATGTGAACTGGATGGATTACACCAATTCATCACAAATAGACCCCAAAGTAACGAGAACCCAAACTGTTAATATCTTGCCTTTCAGCTCCCAGAATTCAGTCCTTATGAATCTCCTTCATCATCCCTTTACCTCAGTTTTATTCAACAAAATGAAACCAGAATAAATCAATGTTGAATTCGATGATAACCGTCTCTCTAACAATGGAAAAGAGGAAACAGAATTTGCTTATAAAAGCAAAAGAGACAGTAAGGATAATGCAATGAAATATCCTGACTGCTTTTCTTTATTAAGAAGAGTTTTCCCCTGAAACCAGGCATCAAAGTTAAAATTACAGCAAAACCTGACATTTTTCAAAACGTTGTTTGAGATGCTATGGCTAACATTTCTCCAATACGTTGGAGAAGGTGCAGCACCCAAGAGTATATACAGGCTTTTAAGGAATATTAACCTAACTTCTTGAGCACACTGCTTCCAGTTAACTGCTGTTGTCAACATTTAGCAACTCTGAAAATGATGCCATTTTTACCTACATGCTTACACATAAATTTCATGAGCAAAATGTAGACCACAAGCCCAAAGGTTCATATATGTACTGTTTTAAGCAATAATGTATTCACATAAGACAAGCCCATATTTGGGTAAGTAGAATCCTCACATACTTAGGGAGGACACCATGTAAGTACTCTGCTTGAGATCAATGGAATTAGTCCTATACATAAACTTACTCTGAGGCATAAATTTTTTGCAAGACAGAGGCTGTAATGTAGAAGCTTCCCTTGATGAAATTTTTGTGACCCTCTTCTGCTGTCAACAAGAGTGATGTGTCTATATATTTCCCTTGACAAAATACACATCCTTTTATCAGCTGAATCAGAAAGTGACAAGATGATCAAAATAGGAAAGTACAGCTGACTATAACAATTTCACCACTAAGTCATTTCGCCAAAGGAAAAAAATGATGAATTTCTGTAATATCATGCAAAGTTTGAGTTCTAGGCTGGCAGGCAGGAAACATTCAGCTGTCTGAAGGAATGTTTCATTTGTATCTGAGGCAGATATATCAGCCGTTTCCATGGATGGCAGTGCAATAAAATTGTAAAATAGGTTAAAAAAACCCAAACCCTTTCTTTGTTTGTTGGTGAGGTTTTTTTTTCCCTGCTATCTGACCACTATCAATATATAAGGCCCATTAAACACCCATCAAAAATTTGAGTGTCCCAAAAAATGATCCATAAAATGCTTGACATCCATTGGAACCCTTGATACTCTAAAAAAGTTTCTTCGATCTGAGACAAGTTATAAGCCAAGAGAGAAACTACACTCTAGGATATAACTGCATGTCAAAAAGAAGTGTCCTGCACTGAAAACGGTTTGCATACTGGAACCAGTTTAGCAGGGTGAGAAAGTGTGGATCAGAACTCTACTAATACAGGTTTTATCAAGCCTAATATCAAGCTAAATAGGTTTTATGCACAGGATATTTCATAAGTCTGCATGCTGGTCCTTAGTTATTAATACGATAATTTTATAAAATCCACAAGGCACTCAAAATCATGATGAGGTCACTGTCCAGTGATTCGTTGTTTTCTCTTTCACAAATTTATGGTAAATCAATCTAATTCAAAAGGCACTGAAATAGATTAATATTTCATTATGAGAAATGTCCACAAATAGCCTACAAGTTCTTACTTCACATTTTCACTAATGACATTACTACTAAATTATTACAATGCTAATATCTGAACTTTTGGGAAACTTCTATCTTTTAAAATAACATAAGCAAAATCCGGGTGGAAGACCATGCTGCAATACTCTTACTGTTTTCAGTTCAGTAGTCTACACAGCACTGTAAAGCTCCTGTCCTTGTTAATTTTATTTTTTTATTGCTGTACCGTAGAAGGTGCTACTTAAGGAATTGTGCTACTTAAAGGCTATCTAATTTGGAGGTTTGTTTATTCACCTAAGAGAGCTGGGAGAAAGAAGATAGTTTGCTTTTGACATAGAAGAAAACATTTCTTTTTTGTTAATTGGGTAAGAAGGAAAAAAAAACCCATTGAGACTGGTTTATCTGTCACCCAGCTGAATCACCTACCACTTCATCAGTAAGAGTGTTACAGCAATCTTCACCAGTATTCCAACAATAAAAAAATGTTAATTTTGCTTTTTGCTTGGTGCTTACTATAATGTAAGATTTCCTGTAATAATTTTGGTGTGTTTAGTCAGATTAGACCTAACAAAAGTTACCAATACTGATTACATTCTACCTAATCTCAATATAGTCTGGCAATGACAGTGCTACACCTTTATACGCTGCATCTCTAGTTAACAATTTGTACCCTCAAAGATTTTTCAACCTAATAAAAAATTAGATAAAAAGAGCTTGACACTAATAAAAATTATGTATTGTTAAACTATTATCCTTCTTACACAAATTAATTTAAAATTACAGGTATGCTAAACAGAAGAATCCTCCTAGTTAAAAGATCAAAATAATGTTCAGAATTTAACATCTACCAAGAGTTAATATATTTCTGTATGCGCCATACATTCAAAGAACAGCACAAATGTAATTTCATTAAGTTCTTCAAAAGAAATCAGAGCCTCAAAAAATCACAGAATTTGAAAATTATAATTTGGAAAAAATACCTGGCAGATCATGTAAATACAATAGTATTTTATGCACTATCACTAACAATATAATTAACGCCTGCTAAAATCTATTCTAATATGTTAAAGGTTACATCAATGCTTTTTAATCAAATTAATTTTTAAAATATAATTTTAACATTTTAATTTGACAGCAATAAGTACATAAGAGGAGATGTTCTTTTAGGACAGTAACACAGATCATTCTAGAACAAAGTAGAATTCAGTAGTTCAGAGATAACATCAGTGCTCTGCTGTACACTTTAAAATTATAAAAAACGCATGACCTGACATATCCAGACTTCTACTTTAACAAAAACAGTGAACATTGCATCTTTTTCTTTGACTTTGTATAACACTGTATCACAAAAACACCTCACAGAGAAATCATAGGCCAATAACTGATAATCTTTTAAAAAGTAAAATAAAGCAATAATAAAAAATGAAATGCCAGTGTAACTTGTATTCATAGATATACTAGTGGGGTTGTTATAGCTTGTTACTAAGATTTAGAATATTAAAGTAGACATAAAGGATTCAAAGAAAAAATTGCTGGATTTTTTTTTTAATCTTCTGTAGTCAAAGCTGTGCAACATCAGGCTGTTCACAATATTACTTACCTGAAAGCTGCTTGATGCCTTTGCTGAGAAATAGCAGCAAGCTGAAGTTTGGCCTCAATAAGAGCCTCTAAGTCTTCAGCAGAACACCAAGATATCTCCCCATCATATTTGTCCTGTATGTTCTGCACAAGATGGCTAAGACTTTCTTCAGCTTCTGTTAATAAAATCCCCTAGAGAAGAACACAGCATTGTATGATTTCAAAAAATAATGAAAGAAATAAAATTTCTTTAAAAGTATTTTATTCTGTTATAGCCTACTATTACTGCACCCTAAAACAAATCAACTTGAATACAATATGCCTTTTCTATAAATAGCAGGGGGGTTTAATTTTGCTTTTTTCAGGTTTACAGATTCAATGTGTTGAAAGTAGCAATATCTTAAGTGTGCCTGTACTATTGCAATTTATGCTTAACTACATATTTTATGGCTTAGCAATATTACTCAATAATTTTTCATTCTTATCTTTATCTTACAGCTATACTTGATAATTTTATACTATACTTCTTACTATGCTCAGTAATTTTAAACAATAAAATACAATATTAAAATACAACATTAAAGATGTTGCAAGAAGTATTACATTCTCTTCTATCTGTATTTTGACAGATCCTTGAGTGCAGTATGTATCCTGAAAGTTCAACTGTAATTTACAGTTGTCTTTCTGACAAACAAAGCTGTAAGAAGCTGTAAAAACCAAATCTAAAAGAAAGTTAATTTTAAATAAAATCTCAATCGCGGCACTTTCAGCAGAATTAAAAAATAATTCAAAGGTTTGTATCAGCCAATATCTTTTTTTGACCAGTTTCCTCAATGAATTCAGAACTCTACTTAAAAAAACAAAACAATAAAATGGTTAAAGAAAAATCAGAAGGGTAAGAAATATATTATGTCACTTAAATGAGCCCAATTCAAATTAATATCATGTTTCTATCTTAGTTATTTTACAGATGCTGTTTCAAGTTATTCTGTAGCTAGACTAAAACTTTCAAGTTTCTAGTGTATAGCATATACCAATTGCCATACAAAATCATCCTCTATTTCTCCAGATGTATTTTGTACATTACTTTGTTTGTAACAATGGCCAAAAGTAGATACTTCCAAAGTGGAAGACCCCTCTGAAAGAAGAATCTGTCAGCCCTCAATTTTGGTCTTTTTGTGATGTGAAACTGCCAAGCATGAAGTTTACAATTAAACAAAACAAAAACTAAACCCAAAAACAAACAAACAAACAACCCCCCTTCAAACAAAGCAGCTAATAAGCTGCGGTATGTTTTCTCCAAAATAAAGTATCAGAAAGAGGAACATGAAAAATTTGGGACATTTCACATATGGTAGACAATGGTTTTCCATTTATTTGTAGAGCATACTGCCCCATCGAAGAGTCTCTGACATGTTTTATAGGTGCCACCCTCTGAAAGGAGATTATTTTATCCTTGAAATCCCTTTCAGTCTTCACCCTTGTTGCTGAAACAGTCATACTGAGATCTGATTGTGACAATATTTCCCATGGACATTTATACAGCATAAACTAGACCGTTTGAAAAACTGCACCAAACCACCAGGCCTTCATGTATGGCTAGTAAGATTACAATCAGATTAGAAACAGAAATTTCTCATCCCCTTATTCATGCCATCCTCCCATCACAATTTCTGTTACATTGAAAGCATTAGCAATGTTTTTGGAACAATCTGTAGTTTCTTAAGCCTTTTTTCCTAAAAACCAAAATTACCTTCAGCATGGCCATATTTAATTCATCTTTACAGTCAATGAGCTGCACCATTGTGCCTCTTTGTTCCTGTTGTCTTGAATTCTTATCAGCATCAACTGTCAAATACATTTCAGATGAAATTTCAGATAACAGACACAGAACCAAAGCATTCTCAGTAATTTGAAGAATATGACCCTTTTTTCTCTATTTTTCTCTATTGAGCAAATGGCCTTAAGTTGCGCCAAGGGAGGTTTAGACTGGACATTAGGAAAAACTTCTTTACTGAAAGAGTGGTCAGGCCTTGGAACAGGCTGCCCAGGGAAGTGGTGGAGTCACCATCCCTGGAAGTATTTAAAAGACGTGTAGATGAGGCGCTTAGGGACATGGTTTAGTGGGCATGGTGGTGTTGGGTTAACGGTTGGACTTGATGATCTTTTCCAACCTTAATGATTCTGTGATTCTATGATTCTATAATTTATAGTTGGGACTTTCAATATCAAAATAAGTGAGGAAGAATGGAATACAGCTCTAATAATATTAGAGATATTAGCTAAAAAAACCTTGAAAAATCTTAATGCTTATTATTCATTAATGACTGATTTTTCCAGCAACATTTAATATGAATATTTTTTATAATATGACACGTTAATGCATATGCAGTTAAAAGTGGAAAAACTATGCTTAAACATAGTTGCAGAAGTTGCAGAACAAGTGCACTTTTCCACCACCCTTATAATTACCTTTTACATTTGATGCTGTAATTCTGTTTGGCTCCTTCAAGCTGTTGTTATCGACAGAATAGATGTGTTTTTCCACTTTTTCAGGTATATTATTTATTGTGGCAGAAAGACAAATGATGAAATGCATTTTGGCTAAGGTTAATTTATTCATAATTTGTTGGTTGCACAGTGGCACCATTGTTAAAGACAGACTCCAATTAAATATGTCTTCCAGTACCTACAAGAAAATTAACAATTGGGACTATTTAAAATGACATATTTTACATTTTTCTTGTTCAAGGCATATTCTGCTTCTATTAATAATGATGTTTATCAACAATTAACACGAATAATATTAGTAATGTGCTCTTAGTCATTATGGATATGTTGCTGCTTTCCTTTCCAAACTTAATTCACCCCTTAGCAGCACTTGCTAGAGCCTCAGTGATCAGTTTTCCAGTAGAAGGTGCATCTATGAAGTTATAGCTATTACTCTGGGTGATTTTTAGTTTTCTGCATTGTCCATAGCACTCTCTGAGCTAAGATGGTCACAAAAAATATGTAGGTAAATCTGTAGTTCAGAAATCTCAACTCAAAGGAAAATCTATTGTTACAATTCACCCTAACTAGAAAGATGAAGCAAGGAAAAAAATTCTTGTATTTAGCATATTTCATAGAATCTTTTTGTTATTCCTTATAGCATCCTTGTTTTATCTTGAGTTTAATATTCTTACTTTGGATTAATAAATTTAGAAGTTGAAAGTTTACACAGCTTTGCAAAATCATAAGGAGACCAATAAGAGTCCCGTATAGACTGTGAAGTGTTCAAATCAAAAGCTCAAGATAAAGCACAACTTCAAAATAAATCTGAAACTAGTGAGATCAAAAGCTGTCAAGATAGACATCTCATTTCTGTCTTCTAATATCAACTGTTGTAGGAGACACACAAGCTTACTCTAAACAAAAGAGAGAAAAGTGGAGGGAAAAAGTGAGTTTTTTCTACTTTATCACTTTGGTTTTTCCACATTCTGCTAACATTTACCCCACTAGCTCAATGGACCTGTGACAAGGCAAATGAAAGAAAATTATTAAAACTGAAAAACAAAAAAGAAATCATTGATAAACATGTGATTTTAATTAAAATGAGAAATGACTGCTCATTAACTGGTTTACAGATTCACCTTTCCCCCCACACCCCCGAAATACACTTCAACCCCAATCTGAGTTAGGACAAATCTATGAAGACAGCTCTGACTGATAGAAATTATAAGGCTAGATGACTGATATTCTTGGTATTTTAGCAGGATAAACACCAGACCCTACGTACCATGACAAAACCTGAATTCTACTAGTATGTTTTGCATAGACAAGTCACAGATTTGTACAGATTAGGTCTCCCATCTGAAAAACGGTTATAATGATACTTCCCTCTCCCTTGACAAGTCAGCCATAAAATTCAAAATTTAGGAAATGGTAAACTGTTGAGGAGAATATGTCTTCTATTTACTGGTTTTCACTAATAACAAGTATATTTTCTGAACCAAATAATCTCTAACTGATGTCAGAGAAATAAATATTTATGTCTAGCATAAAATTTTTAGCTCTTTCAGACTTTTTTTACCTGTAAATTTGAAACAGTCAGGAGAGATTTTGAGGAGTCAAATTTCGGTAAGGCCTGTAAAATGGACAAAACCAAAAATAAGTAATGTGTTACAATATGAGTATAAAATAAGTGAGTTAGCAGAGCAGTGGACAAGTGTAGTGCGTTTCCAACTATACTTTGAGGGCTCTGACAACAATTACTTGGCTTCTACAGGCTTTACATTTCTGAACCATAACCCAAGACACAGAACTATCCCTACACCTTCTATGCCATTCACCAGGATTCTTCAGCTTGAAGCAAGGGGAGAAAAAGGCATAAACCAACAAAAATCCTTTTCCAAATTCTAGGAGTTCTATGGACACCAATCATCAATTGCCTTTATATTCTTTACATTTCTGAATCCCAAACCTAACTCCAGACTTAGCACATGCCTCCTCTGCTATTCCCCAGAGCACAGATCTGTGAATGGAACAAAAACAAGAGCTATAGGTCAAAATGAACTTAAGACCTCAGCCTCCTTAAGGGCTCTAAAAACAACTATTTCTTCACTTATATGTGCTTCAATTTTTTGAACCCTAACCCTAATTCTAGTCCTTGCTCAAAAACCCTTTAACTTTTCACCAGAAGACAAATCAGTCTACTGAGGGGAAGGAAAAGGCAGAGGTAAAGGTCATTTCCAGCCTTCATCATAACTGAGAGCTCTAAACACAACTGTCACTTGGGTTCTATGTGGTTTTTATTAACTCTTTTATTAACTCTATACTCCAGATAGTCCTCTATCATCTCTGTCATTCCCTGGAACATGGGTCCTTCTTATTCTGAGAGCTGTGCAAAAGTCCAGCAAGCACTTAGCTTCTACATGCGTCACACTCTAACCAGAGACCTAATGCTGAACGTCCTCTGCTGTTTACCCGAACACTCACCTGTGAACCCGGTTAGAAAAAGACAAGTGACAAATCAACCAGACTTCATCCTAACCCTGTGAGCTCTTCAGACAATACACAAATTAAGGAAAGGATTTAAAGATGCATTTTAACCTGACTAGCATCAGTAAGGAGTAAATGCATTCCTTACTGTAGCCATGAACAGGGAAGCTTTGCAGAACCAACTCCAGTGAGGACGCTGATAACTCTTTATGGCTCAACCTAGTGAGAATGTAATGTAGCTTGTGCTCTGAGGAAAATCACTAGATTTCAGTTTCTTATCTTCCCATGCAGTTAATATGAAAGTATCACTGGCAAATTAAAAAGGTCACATTTTTTGATAAATATTTTAATTTTACTTTTTATTAAGTTCATGTTTCATTTAAAACCTAGTACCACAAACCTGCAATACCACTGCAGGTTATTCTAGGAGGAGTGCTTGTCCATATTTCTGGGTTTTTAAATGTAAACATTTGACATCCTATCATAAATGCAATTGTAATTATTCCCTTATTAATTAGCTTAGACATTGATTTGTTGGCTATTGCCAGAAAAGATACTGCTGCTCTGTGCTGGTTATAGCCATTGTGAGTCTGCAGGGTAAAGACAGTCAGGCCATGGGTCAGCTGGAAACTCCCTCTCAGGGTTTTGGGAGGTGGGAGGGGGGAAATTTCCCTTCAAATCGGCTCATTAAACTCAATTTGCTCTGCAGTGCCAGCTTCACTGCTGGCACTTCACTGTCTACAACACAGGGTAAGGGAAGCAAATGTGAAGTCATGGAGGTGGGTTAGGAACTCCCCTTTCAGCACCAGCCTGTAAGTATCACCAGATTAGAAATATCATCCTATTGCATGTATAGAATGTGGCTGTACAATCAAGTTAAATCTATGATGCTGTCAAAAGGTGTATCCCTACCCGTCCCACTAGTCTTCTATCACATAGAATCATAGAATCGTAGAATCATT